TATGTAATGCAATCTCCTTTTCTAATTAGAACAACCTCAGCTAAAGAATTTGTTCAGTAGTTATAGGAAGCAGGTTTTATTAGACTGATAGAGCTCTACATTTTTATTTGTTAAATAGGTTTTGTTTTATTACCTTCTGCATATTGTTAGAAAGATTAATCTTCTTCCTCCAAAAATAAGAGAACAGTGTGGCAGATAATACATTTATTTGAACTTGTCAGAGAAATAGAATCAGTCATCTGTGCCAAGAGTGGGGTATAGCCGTACAATTATGCTTATGCGCTATACTCAGACTCCATGTGACTGATTTTTCTCATCTATTGGGAGCAAGGCTAGTTGAAAAAAAAATCTGCCTAAACTAATTTTGATGGAAAAAATCAGGGAAATATTCTTCACTTCACAGAAATGTTTGAGATATTCATTGCAGAAGTGATTGTGTGGGAGCTACTCCCTCCCCGCCCCTCCCCAACCCAAAGAAAAGCCTAATTTCCACAGAGAAATAGGGATCTTCCAATCACCTCTAATTAAAAATCTTCTAGACTGAGTATATGTTGCCATGTAGTTGGAGGCAATACTGGTGCAAGAATGAGATAAAATGTGTAAAAAATAAATAAATAAATAATAATTAAAAAAAACAAGGTCACCACCCCTCCTTCCCTCCCTCTCCCCTGGAAAAAAAAAAGTGCAGTAGCTTATTAATCAATATCAAAATTTCAGGAGTTTGTCTTATGAATGACTAACAATGTATAATTAGCATGTGCATTCCTTCTTATGTTGATCTTGTTATACAATATTACGTGTGTATAGCTTCTTTAACTGAAAAATCCTAAAATGATTAAGAAAGCAATGTATAAAGGAATCAATTTACCAATCACTGGACTGGAGCTGGAGCCATGTCTAGGATGCAATGAAATACCTTGAACAGTACATAGAGCAATGTTGAAACTAGCTTTAGTTGAAGAAATAAAGTATGCTTTATCCTAGGAAAATTGCAGGGATAATTTGGAACGTAAGATGAAATGTCCAAGTATAAAGGATTTAGGAGCCTGAATTCCATTTTTTTAAGAGGTTGTAGGTTGTAGCCATGTTGGTCTAAGGACATAGGCAGACAAGGTTCCTTGGGTGAATCTGATATCTTTTATTAGACCAACCAAATAGTTGGAAAATAATTATATAGCATTCCATCCAGGAAGAGCACACACCAACTGCTGAAACTTCCTTAGCCTGACGAAGGGTTTTTGAACCCGAAAGCTTGCTTATTAATTATTTTCCAACTATTTGGGTTGGTCTAATAAAAGATAGCAGATTCACCCAAGGAACGTTGTCTGCCTCATTTTTTTAAGAAGAATTTTTATGCTTAAAAGCCAACGTTCCTGTTACCTCCAGTGAAATTAGGCTCCTTGAGGGCAACTTGTACAATGGTATTAGACACTTGAGGATCAGATAAATATCCAGCAGGTGCCCAAGAAAGTTAGGCACATAACACCTAAAAATAGTAGTTAGGCACCTATCTCGTGTACTTTGATAAATCCTACAAGGCATTCTGCCTGTCAGGGTGAAATTTTCAGAAGTGCTTTGTAACTTAGTGACTTGAGTTGATCACTAAAAATCAGGTAGGCATATTGGTGCCTAAAGCCATGTCAACATTGTGATAGCATCAGATTCCAGCTGGGACATTCCTCAAGTATATGCTGCTACTCCCTCTGATGTATTTCACACCTAGTGAAGTTGCTCCAAGGTCATATTCAGAAGCTACTCTTAAGCACTCAAAAGCAGCCACAGAAGGATGTTCCCATGCAGCCTCACTGACATTTTCTGGGTGGAGGGGGTTAGCA